CAATGTTTGTGTCCAAAAAGTGTTAACGTTCACAGTTTTCAGTGAGCAGCCATTTAAGAGTGCATCCAATTTTGTTCTAAATTTACTTCATTTATGATCGTCCATTTTGTTGAAATCAAAACTAAGTTTCGCTTTTATTTTTCGTCTGTTGAATTTGATATCTAAGAAGTTAGCACACTTTGTTACGACTGGTAAGTGATCGGATATATCTGTATCTATCGGAATGGTATAGCAATCCAGTATGTTGACAGAAAGCTCCGTTGATGTCTATATATAATCAATTCTTGAGGTGCTTTGTCTATTGGTATATGAAGGAAAGCGGGTTCTTGCACAGTCATGTTTAAGGGTGAATGCATTGAACATAGACATTCTAAGCAACGTGTTGAAATATTTGAGCGCATTTGTCGGATTATGTTGGCGGTCTATATCAGCATTGAAATCTCCTAATACAGCCACATGATAGTCTAGGGATGAAGCTTCTTTAATTCATTTTGTAAGTATATGTTGGACTTCTTGTCTGGTTTTTAAGTCTGCGGGTGGTAAATAACAGTTAATGACACGTAGTTTTTGTTTGTTAGCGAACTGCAGATCTACGTAAATCAAACGATCAAGCTTTGTGTCGTGCTTGAAGACGTGATGGGCGATGTCTTTCTTTAATATGATTCCAACTCCGAAGGCTGTTCTCTGTCTTGGTGTTGAACTGAAGAATGAAATGTGGGAGGAATGAGTTGGATCAAAGTTTTTTGCATGTGTTTATTTGAAGTTAGTTTCTTGAAGGTCGATGATATCTATGTCATATGCGAAATAAAGGGAAGGAGGAGATATTGTTTTGCAGTATTTGTGAATGATCTGACATTGTAAGTGGTGAAGGTAAGATTTGGAATATTTATTGGAAGTGTGGAATTATCATTGTTTGAGGAGGTGGAAGCAATATTAGTATCTGTAGAGACAGTAATCATGATTGTTTATTTTAAAATTGAGGAAGGCTTTTTAGAGCCTTGTCTGCAGTTATGTCGTAGTTAGTATTGAGGGTCAATATTTCTGCTGTTTTTCCTGTTGGTAATAAATTATTTTGGACGAGAATCAAACGGAATGCATTACACGAATTTACACAGCCATTAACCGTTTCTGTGAAATGCTTAAGCCATAGATTTTGAGCATCGTTTAGCTCTTTGAGGGCTTCAATCGTGCGTCTTTGTTTGTTAATAACTGAATTGGATGTATCAATAGCCAGGGTATCATATCCATACACCATGTCTGAGTCGTCCATGTTTTCATCTGGAGCTATGACCTTAATATTGAGGGTGTTTTCTATGGTATCCATTCTTTTTATTACAGAACCTATGGCGATTATAAAATCTTCGAGTTTCTGAGTTAGGTAACAGAAGCTTTCCTTGATGAATGCTTTGAAATTGTCTTTCTCATTAGATATTTCATGCATAGAGCCTCCAGTTTTTGTGCCAGCGGCTATATCACGTAATTGCTTTAGAGTAAGCGTATTATTAATAACATTCATATCAGGTGGGACGTCGTCAACCCAGGAGGGAATTGGTGTATTATTCGGACCTCTTAACTAGAGTTCCGAATGAGTTGAGTTGAGTTGAGTTTAAAGACCAACTCTATTCGACTCATTTTTTTCGAGTTGAGTCGAGTCAAATTTATTTTATAAAATCTTTCAATTTGATTTGATTCGAGTTATATAAATTTTAAACTCGACTCAATTTGACTCGACTCGATTTTAACTCAATTCGATTTTGAAAAAAATAATAATAATAATAAAAATGAAAAGAACGATTCGGGTCATCATTCTTCTTAAACGATTTTTTTTATCGTTCAAGTCGAATGATTTGGGTCATTATTCTTCTTGAATGATTTTTTATCGTTCAAGTCGAACGATTCAGGTCATCATTCTTCTTGAACGATTTTTTTTATCGTTCAAGTCGAACAATTCCTTATCGTTCTTCTTGAACGATTTTTTTATCGTTCAAGTCGAATGATTCCTTATCGTTCTTCTTGAACGATTTTTTTATCGTTCAACTCGAGTCAACTCAAGTCAACTCGAATCAAGTCGAGTTTAAATCGAGTCGAGTTAAATATTTAACTCGACTCGAATTTGGCTTGACTCGCAAATCATCGAGTCAAAAAAAACACCAACTCGACTTGATTTGAACTCGACTCAGCTTATCTGACTCGTGAGTTAACTCGACTCGTCCGGAACTCTAGTAATTAGTCAATTTATTACAATACATAAAAATTCAATTGTTGTCACATTATCATATTAATAAAGCGAAGAGAAAAAAAAATTAAAAATTTTTTATTTAACATGACAACATATATAATTTGTTTTACATAAAAAAAATATTTTGTTAATAAAATAAAATATACAGAAATAACACTTTCAAAACATCCAAAAGTTAGAAAAGTTATTAATTCAAAAACTATAATATGTATATGTGATAAAAAAGTTTACCTTGATAGAAACTATGATCCAGATCTTCTTGACCGTCACATTAAAAAAAAATATGTAAAAGTAATGATGAAAACTCTCAAATTACACAATTTTTTTCAGAACAAAATTCAGAAGCTTCAAAAAAAAGAATACTTTATATTGGATTAAATGATGAAAAAGTTAAACTATATCTTCATCATATTGGTTTTGTGATCACATTTGGTGATACATCACCTCTAGAAATTATAGCACGAGAATTGTTTGGTAACAAAATTAAATCATCGTTTCATTGGAAAGATTTAAACAAAAAAGAAAATGATCAACTTTTAGATACTTTACAATCACAAGCCAAGTGGATAAATGATATCACAACTTTTTACGTTAGAAGTACTGAATGTTCAACATATGTTAATGAAATTAATAAAGTTTGTAGGCAATGTCTTGATTTGAAAAAATTAAAGATTTTTCTGGTAATTAAATTTTTTTATAAATTATGCTTTATAATATATATTTATTAATAATTTATTATTAAATAGAATGCGATTAATAAACCAATTCCTAAAGAAAAAAACCAAAAATACACACCTTTAGTTCTTTATAAAAATTCTCTATTTTATCAATATTGTAAAAATGCAAATATCATGGAATTGTTAGGTTACTTTAATGATCCAGAAGATTGTATTCCCAAATTTTGGAATCAACTAGCAAGAATAGGACGAGTTGGTGCCTTTAAAGATAAACAAATTTTTTCTGAATTATGTGAAATTTTTGTGGAAATGACAAATCGTATTAATGAAGGAAAAGGACTTCAAAATATTAGATATCCCGAACAATTTTCCAATTTTTTAACTATTTTAGTAAGTAGTAGTCTACAAACATATGCTATTTTTCAAAAAAATCTTACAGGAAGAACAATTCAAAATATCTGATAAATAATTTGTTATATATGTATTGTGAAATTCTAACTTTAATTTATTTTTAATTTAGTATACAACGTGCTCAATCAGATTTAGCAATTGATGATCTGTCAATATGTTTTGAAAATATGGCTAAATTTAGAAAATTTCTAATTAGCATTAACTATAACAGACCAATTGTAGCATCAATGGATAACATAAAACTTGAAGAAAAATTACGTTACTCTGCAAGCTTGAGCGTAATTCTTGGATCTACATTACCATTACAAGAAACTTCAGTATCTTTTTATAACAAAATTAATACTATTATAAAAAATATTCAAACCAATAATACAATAGCTAAATATGTTTGTGTATATATTTTACAAGTTCCAGTTTCTAAAGTATTACCATTTGTACTTAGAATTATTCCAAATAATAGTGAAAATATATCTGATGTATATGAAATTCACAATCAAGTTTTAGAATTTGCCGCCCATTTTAAAATTTATATATTATCAATTGGAGCTGATGGCGTATTAGTAGAAATTAAAGCACAAAAATGTATTATGCAAACTAATACTGAAACTAAGCTTAAATTTACTGACAAATTATACAGTATGTAATTTATTTATTTGTGTAATAAATTCTTTGTCTTTATTATTAATGACTTTTTATCTAGATATCAAATTACATTGTTTTGTAATTCCGAATATTGGTCCTATTATTTGTATTTCAGATTTGAAGCATGTGAAAAAAAATGGACGAAATAGTATTTTTAGTGGCGCTCGAATACTAACTTTTGGAAATAGTTTCTTGAGTTTTGGTCATGTGTTATAATTGTCTAAATTACCAAACTCTGCTTTGTATCATAAGGATGTTTTAAATGTTGATAAATAAGATGATGGGGCTGCATATCAGCTTTTTTCTTACGAATTTTTATATGAAGTATTTCAAACTTTAAATTCTGATTCTAAAAACAAGGGATTATTGATTTATTTGTTCATTATTGGTAAGTTAAAATTAATTTATTTATGTTTAATTTCGTAACAAAAATTAATTATTAATTATTAAATTATTATTATTTTATTATTTTGAAAGGAGAGTTGATAGATTCATATCTTAATCAAGATGTTTCTAATCATGAAAGAATCAAAATGGTTATGATGGGTAGTTTTTTTCTAAAAATGTGAAAACAATTTATTCAAGATGCAGTAAATAAATATAAAGAAATTTTTTCAAATAATCGTAATTTTTTAGCACATCAAACTTATGAAATATTATCTTTTCTTGTTGATTCAATAGTAATGATATTATATATACAACTTTAAATTATTTATTATTAAATTAGATAAATAATAATAATAATTTTATTATTACAGATTCTACTTATCATAGCACATCGAGAATACTATAATTCAATTCTATTATTACCTTAGATGCACGGTAGTGAAGTATGTGAATACTTTTTTTGAAATGGCTCAGCAACATTTACCAGATTTTATATATGCTGATTTAATATATTTAATTCCTAAAATTCGTCATGTTACAAATGCCTATTATAAATTTCACAATTGTTAATCCAAATTCAGAATATAAAACTTCTCAAGTTGGTTAGTTTATTTAATAATTTCAGTATTTTATTATAATTAATATCTAATTTTTATATTAAAAAATTTCAATAGGTTATATTTGTGATTATTTTGAAGGAAATGTCAATGATCTAAATTCAAATTTAAAAATTTGGCCTACAGATGATGAAATCAGAGTTCTTATTAATGATGCATATAAAGAAGCAAATGCTTTAGCAAAGTATGTTTTTATGGTAGTTACATTAATTCTGAATTATTATTGTCATCTCCAACTGATTTCTTAACAAGTGACAAAATAATACTACTGATTAAAGAAAATTTAACAAAAGAATTTCAAGATGGAGAGGAGGTTTTAACAAAAATTATTGAAATGATAAGAAATGTTGCAAGTTTAAATTTATGAAATGATATAGATGAGAATTTGATATATGCTCGTGAGCAGATAACAAATTTATCTAATAATACAAATTTGAAATAAATTTACAATAATAATATTAATATATTAAATGGCAATATAATTTTTGATTTACTATATCAATGCCAAAAATATCACAAAGCTTATACTTCAAAAAAAATGATTCAATCACAATTTCAAAAAAGAGATCACTATAATTCATCAGGAATTAATTCATCTATTGCTAGCAAAATAGTTGCACAAATTACTAATAATAATAATAATTTAAGGTTACCTAAAGCATGATTAGAATAATGGAATATTAGAAAAAGATTTGAAAATATTAATAAAATGTTAAAAAATTCACGAAAATTATAATTACCAAATTACAGTAAGTATAATTAATAAATTAACTTTATTGATTTTACTAATAATTAATTAAATATTTTATAGTTTTAGATTATATTCCTTCAATTTGTATGGTAAATATTTCTTCAATTTATCCAGTACAAAAGGAAGGATTTGCATTGGCATTAATTAATAGGGAAATATGTCTTGTACAAATTCTTACAATTTATTATCATACATCAACTAGAAATAATCATTCATATACCGAAGAACCTGTAAATGAAGTTAATCTAATTACATTTGTATTTACCAAAGTGTTTAGGAATTTGCAGCATAATTTGTTTTATTCAAAATGTGATGAAAGGTATGAATATTTTTGTCATTTATCATTCAAACAGATACTTTATTATTTGGGATATCAAATAGAAAAATCACATATAGATATGTATTCATTACAATCTAATGCATATCAGATTTATCAAACACTTTCTAATAATAACATTTTAACTTGTATTTTGCATTGTCTAAATCAAAAAGGAAAAAATAAATAAAATATTTTTTTATTAATCCGGTATGTAAAAGTTTGGGTAAATTTTTAAATTTTTACATGTAATATATATGAAAGTGGATACAAAATCAAAAAATTTTTGGGATAAAATTTTCCAAGTTTTATCATTTTTTCTCCCCACATTTTATATAATTGTCTGGGTCCTGTGTAAATAGCAATATTAACAATAGTAGATCAAGCAATCAAAAAGACCAGAGCAGTAGAATTTGCATATTCCATTAGAATGGAACTATCTGTCTATTTGTTAATGCCTAATTACATGCAATTATTACAAGGAGGAATGGTATCAGCCCGCACAAGTATAGCAATGTAACCTATATATATTACAAAGCAGCCAGATATTAAGGGCACTATTAATCGTAAACTAAATAAAGGGTTACAAGCGATTATAGCAAACATTAGGCAATAACAACAACAATAATAGCAGCAGCAATAGTCATAATAACGGTCATGCGAATATTTTAATTGAGAAAAATTTGAACACTTATCTAGAGATTGTAGAAGTAATCAATGTATGAATAATGATCAATCAAATATTGAATGCTTTAACTGTGAGAAGTATAGCTATTTTACCAGGGATTGCAGAAGTACAAATAATAATAGAGGTCGAAACTTTCAAAATTATAATGATAACAACAGAAATCATAATTGCAGTAATAGCAGAAATAGGAATTATAGAAATAATAATAATAATAACTACAATAATAACAATAATAATAATAATAATAACCAACAGCATTTAAACTAGAAGTCGTATCTCTTAAGGGTGAGTGTATGAATAAATCTAAAGCCTCTAAAGCGAAAGAAGAGGAAGAAGCAAAAGAAAATAGTCAAGGAAAAGCAAAAATAAAAATAAGTTTAATAAAAGTATCTTATATATGTAGAGAAATGAATTTGAAAATGTGATTCAGAGGACCATATAAAAACAAATATAATCATTCCAGTTATGAAGAATATGACTATCACAGTCATATTGTATATATAAATTATAATAAGATCGCTAAAGGAATAGCAGCACGATGTGAATGTAAGAAAGTAAAATAGAAGGATCCACTAACTGATGAAAGAACTTTCAGTAAAAATCAGCCAATTATACCAGTAGATCTTCAAAAACAAGGAGAAATCACTGTTAAGAAAAGGCTGAAGTATGTGTTAAGGATCTTATATAATGATAAAGGAATCTATCTTTTAAAACGAATTGATCTAAATAGGGAAATGTATAACTTATAGCAAATAGTCAATGAGAAAGTTGAACTAGGAGAATTATCAATAAGAACTATAATTCGAGAAATTGATGAAGAAACTGGAATACAATTGGATGAAGATCGCTTGGAATACATTTTAAATGATTCTACATATAATTGTGATGTATATAAAGTAAAGCTAAACAAAGAAATACTTCAATATACTAAACCTACCAAATATAGCGATTGGTAACATTTTGAGTTTGATGAATATTTACAAATAGCTAGTCTAAATGAACTAATATTAACACATAATAAATATGGAGAACTTTTCATATCTAAATTAAAGGAATCTATTATTACTAGTAATATAGAACGTGATGAACCTATCAAGAATGTATTATTTATTGAAGTCTAAGTAGAAGGATACTCTTTAAATTCTCTAGTAGATATTGGATCTGTAGGAAGTATCATTACTCAGTGGTATCTTAGGCAAATCAATAAGAAAATTGATGAACCTGCAAAAATAAAAATCATGGAAGTAGATGGAAAAACTATGATGCCTTTAGGAATGATTAAAGGAGTTACAGTAGAAATTAATAAAATAACTGTTAATGAAGATATGCTAGTAACCAATGCTATAAGATATAATATTATCTTAGAAAACATCTGGTTGCAAAAAGTTGTGCAATCATTGACTATAATACTGGCATCCTAGTTATACAACAGGGAGATCAAACTTCTATAACACCTATAACTTACACACAAGACATACATCCAGGAAGATTTACATCAATCAAGCCTAAAATAACAGTAGAAGTCTTAGAATTTGAAGAGGAGGAAGATATTGATATTCAACAATGTTTTACTATTGTTCTCAAAGAAAAAGAGAAAATAATTCAAATAAATGGAAAGGAATATCCTGAAATATACTTACAACAAATTGAATATGAAATGGATGTTCAACAAAATAGAAATTAGAAGGGATTGGCTACATGTTGGTGTTTGAAAATTTAGGAAATGAAGGCCAATGTGATGACTATAGAGAAATTATAAGAACAGTACAAACTTATCAATACTATAGAAATAGTATAGATCTACAAACTGCCTATAAAATTCAAATTGAAGAAAATGATATTTGAATAGAAATTGGTAATAATTCAGGGAAATATATGACTTATGAAAAATTAACAGATACTTCTTTAAAATAATTAAAGTATTTCTTGAGAAAAATCTTAATAGTTTTGCGATCACAACACAGGAATTGACACATTTAGAGCAAAATGAACATAGTATATTTACTGAAAATATATTATCAGTTGCACTAAAACTATATCAAACATCAGTAAAGGATGATCAGTATATTCAGCAGGAGATTCAAAATATGTTAGATCAAGGAATTATACAACCTTCTCAAAGTCAATGGAGCTCACTCTTAATTCTTGTAAGGAAAAAAAATGGAAAAATAGGGTTTTGCGTAGACTATAGAAAATTAAATGATGTAATAATAAAGTTCTAATATTCCTTACCAAGGATTGATAAATTATTAGAATTCTTGGGAGGATCAACATGGTATACTACCTTAGATTTAGCTTCAGAGTACTGGCAGTTTAAGGTCAGGGAACAGGACAAATCTAAAATAGCATTTATTATGAAACATAGGTTATATAAATTCAATGTAATGCCATTCAGGTTATGCAATGTATCAGCCACCTTTCAACGAGCTATGGATAATATATTACGAAAAATAAAAAAAAATTCATATTAGTATACTTTGATGATATCATCATATTTTCCAAAAGTTATGATGAACATTTATAACATTTCTAACAGATTTTCAATTTTTTAAAAGAAGCTTAATTGAAAATAAATCCAGAAAAATGTCATTTCTGCACAAAAGAAATTCAATTTTTGGGACATGTAATATCAGGATAAGGAATACAATCTGATCCAGCAAAAATTGAAAAGATCATTAACCTCAACATTTTATTCAATGTTAAATAATTACGAACTGTATTAGGATTATTCTCTTATTACCAACATTTTGTTAAAAATTATTTTAAATTGGTAGCCTTATTGAATGATTTTCTGAAAAAGGATGTACCTTACAGTTAGACAAAACAACATCAAGAGGTTTTTGAAATACTTAAGGAAAAATTAACGACTGCACCAATCTTATTCTATTCTGATTTTAATCAATCTTTTATATTAAGTACTAATGCAAGTACTACAGGACTAGGTGTAGTACTTTCACATAAAGACAATAAAGAAAGAGAACATCCTATTTGGTATGCAAGCAGATCATTGAGCTCAGCTGAAAAAAATTATCATATTACTGAACAAGAGGCTTTAGCAGTAGTATAGGCAGTTAAATATTTTAAAAGGTACTTAGAGGATAATACATTTATTATATATACCGATCACTCAGCATTGCAGTGGTTATTAAATCAGCCCATTAAAGAAAAGGATAGTAAAAGGATTATCTGTTGGAAGATTCTATTACAATAATTTCAATTTAAAGTAAAATATTGCAAAGGAAAGGCAAACATGAATACCAATACTCTCTCAAGAATTGATGAATTACAGACACCAAACACATCACAAACCCTAACATCAATAATAGATCATGGATAAGCAACAATATCAAAATATAATTCAATACCTTACCAATTTTACTTATCCAAAAAATTGTGATACTTCTTAACAGAAATAAATTTAACGATTATTAATCCACTACATTGTTAAAAATTCACAAATATACAAACTAACCAAGAAAGGATTAAAAAAGTAATTACACAAAAACAAGTGGAAGTACTCTTATTTAATTTATATAAAGATATGTCAGGAGCCTATCTAGAAATTGAAGTAATATACAATAAAACTAAAGAATAATATTATTGGTCACAAAT